GGAGCCGTGCCCTCGGGCACAGGCTGAGGGTCAAGGACACAGGGCCCCCCTAACGCCCCTCTCTGCCCCCAGCCGCCCCCCATGTATGCTGAAGCCTCCACCATGAACTTCCGGACCCCCGGCATGTTCCGGCGCAGCCCATCCCCTGCGGCCAAGCCGGCCCCCACCGCTGGCACCTCGGCACTGGGGGGCATCGCCCAGATCTCGCCCTGCCTGGACCTGTGCAGCGGCAATGCGGCCGCCAACCGGCACCTGGTGTACGCCCGGGCCGTGACCTGCGTGGTCAACGCCACCACGGAGATCCCCAACGCCAACTGGCCCGACATCGAGTACGTCAAGGTGCCGGTGCCCGACCTGCCCCACGCACCCCTGGCCCTCTCCTTTGACGCCGTGGCCGACCGCATCCACCAGACGGGCAAGCGCAACGGGCGCACGCTGGTGCACTGTGTGGCCGGCGTGAGCCGCTCCGCCTCGCTCTGCATCGCCTACCTCATGAAGTACCATCGCCTCAGCCTGCTGGACGCCCACCAGTGGGTGCGCAGCCGGCGCCCTGTGGTGCGGCCCAACATGGGCTTCTGGCGTCAGCTCATCGACTACGAGCGCAAGCTCTTTGGCAAGAACACGGTGCGCATGGTGCCCTCGCCCATCGGCCTGGTGCCCGACGTCTACGAGAAGGAGACCCGGGGCCTGGTGCCCCTCTGGAGCTACAGATAGGCGAGGCGGGACCAATCTGGGCCCCCGGCGGGCTGCTGGAGCCTGCACACCTGCCCCCACATGGGGTAGATTTCAGCCCAGGACAGCTTGAACCGCCCCGGCCTGGGCAGCTTTCGAGGCGAGATGGGGCATGTCCCAGAACTGCCCCAGCAGCAGCCCTTGCGCTGGGGCAGATCCCGCTGCCGGGGCAGGGTGTGCCCCGGATCAGCACTGGAGCACCGGTTACTGCCCCGGAGGAGGGATGCTGGTGCTGCTGTCCCGCAGGGGGCAGGTCCCACCCTCCACAGGGACATTTCCCCCCTCAGAGACTTGGGCATGGGGTGGCTGAGGGGGAAAGGAGGAGCTGTGTGACACTGCGAGGCAGCCATTTTTGTAGGGCCTACCACAGATACCCTCTGTGCGATGAGATGTAAACTGCAGCCTCCCTTGGGGGGAGCATAAGTGGGAGGGAGCCAAATCGGGGCAGCTGCTCCGAGCCTGGCTTCCTGCTGCCCTCGGCGCGCTCTGTACAGCCGCCAGCTAGATCCATTGACGGGGGAGGAGCTGTGTGACACTGCGAGGCAGCCATTTTTGTAGGGCCTACCACAGATACCCTCTGTGCGATGAGATGTAAACTGCAGCCTCCCTTGGGGGGAGCATAAGTGGGAGGGAGCCAAATCGGGGCAGCTGCTCCGAGCCTGGCTTCCTGCTGCCCTCGGCGCGCTCTGTACAGCCGCCAGCTAGATCCATTGACGGGCTGGCCTGGGAGGGCGCCCGCTCAGTAATAAAGCACCTTTCGCAACCCACTG